CATTCCCTTTGCAAGTTTTTTTTTTTTTTGAGGATTTTTGCATCTATTCTCATTGAGAGATTGGCCTGTAATTGTCTTTTTCAGTTAGATTCTTTCCTACTTTGAGAATAAGGGTGGTGCCAGTTTCCAGGAATAACTCTGGTAGTACTTTAACCCTTTCAATTTCATTAAAGAGTCTGAGGAGTGTTGGCATTCCATTTTCCCTGAAATTCTTGTAGAATTAGGCAGTGAATCCATTGGGTCCTGGGCTTTTCTGAATGGGTAGGGTTTTTTAAAATTATTGTTTTACTCTCTTTTCCTGTTATTTAGTTCTAGAATTTTTAAGTCTTCTTGGTTCAGTTTTGGAATTCATGTGAATCTATGAATCTCTGCATTTCTTCTGAATTCTCCAATTTTTTGTTGTGCAGGTTTATGAAGTAGTTGGTAATAATAATCTGGATTTAGGCAATATCTATTGTGTTTTATCCTTTCATTTCTAATTGGATTGATTTGTGTCTTCTTTCCTTTTTTTGGTAAGATTGGTTTATTCACTGATTCTTTATTTTTAAATTGTTTTTCTTTTTGTCTTTGTTGAGACAGGGTCTCACTCTGCAGTTCAGGCCAGGATTGAGCTCACTTTGTAGCCTCGGCTGGTCTTGAACTTGCAATGATCCTCTTGCCTCAGCCTCCCTCTTGAATGCTGCAATTACAGGTGTGTGCCACCATGCCTGGCATATTCACTGATTCTTTGAATGGTGGTTTCTGCTCTGATTTTTTACAATTTCTTTGTTTGTACTGTCTCTGGGTTTGGATTGTTCTTGTTTGTCTAGGATCTTGAGGTGCATCATTAGGTTATTTATTTGGACTTGCTCTGTTTTTCTGATATATTTCCATCTATAAATTTCCTTCTGGGCTGGGGATATAGCTCAACAGCACAAGTGCCTGACTGGCAAGTGCTAGGTCCTGAGTTCGAGTCCCAGTACCAAAAAAAAAAAAAAAAAAGTTTCTATAAATTTCCTTCTTAGGACTGCTTTCATTGTGTCCTATAAGTTTTGGTGTGTTGTGTTAGCATTACCTTTTAATTTTAGGAACTATTTTATTCTATCTAAATTTCTTCTGTGACCCATGGATTATTTAAGTATATATTGCTTAATTTCCATCTGTTTGCATAATTTCTGTGGTTTCTTTTGTCATTAATTTCTAGTTTCATAGCAGTGTGATCTGATAATACGCATGGTGAAAATTTCAGTTCTTTTGCATTTACCTGAGCATGCTTTACTTGCAATATGTGGTCTATTTTAGAGAAATTCCATGTGCTGCTGAGCAGAATGTGTGTTCTGTTGTTGTCGGATGCAACACTCCACCTACTGTATATCTATTACATCCATTTGTTCAAAGGTTTGCTTCAACTTCTTTTTAAGTTTTTATTCAGTTGATCTATTTTTGATAATGGGGTATAATCCTACTGATATTTATCTGATCTTTTATTTCCAGTTGGGTTTGTTTTATGAAGTTGGGAGCACCATTATTTGGTGCATATATGTTTATGATTGCTATCTCTTCTTGGATGGTCCCACTAACCAATAGGTAGTTACTTTCTTTCACTCTTCTGGTCAGTTTTGCCTTAAAGTCTAATTTGTCTGAAAATAGGATAACTACTCCTGCTTGATTTGGGATTCCTGTTGCATGGAATATTATTTTCCACCCTTTGACTTTCAGTCTATAAATTTCTTTTTGGGTTAGTTATGTTTCTAGTATACAGCATATTGTAGGATCTTGTTTCTTGATCCATTTTGTGAAGCTGTATTTTTTGATTGGGAAATTGAGACTGTTCACATTGATGGTTATAACTGATAGATACTGACTTATTCCTGTCAGTGTATTATTTTACTGCTGCTGATTCTTTTTCTTTCCTTTCTACTTCATTGCTCACGCTGCCTGGTACATTCATTCTATTGGGCCTTTTGCATTGTTAGCCTTATTGACCCTTTCTAGGATATTCTTGAGAATTTTTTGGAGTGCTTGAATTTTTAGGTGCTCTTTATTATGGAAATATCTTATTTCTTCATCAATATTGAAAGATAATTTTGCAGAGTAAATCAGTTGGGGTTGGAAGTTGTTTTCTTTTTTCCTTTAGGGCTTGAAACTCCTCATTCTAAGCTCTCCTTCACTTTAAGGTTTGTATTGATAAAGCCACTGTAATTCTGACAGATTTTCCTTTATAAGTGATTCATTGTTTTTCTGTGACAGCTTTTAGGATTTGTTCTGGTGTTAGATTTCTGATACTTCAGCTGTGATGTGCCTTGGAGTGGTTCTTTTCTGCTCATGGCTATTTACTTATCTGTATGTTGAATTCTTTTTCCATTTTGAAAAGTTTTTTTGCTATTATTTCTGTAAACAGGTTTTTTTTATGCCCCCTTTTAGCTATCTTCTCATTTTGCATTAATTCCAATTAACATTTGATTAGTCTTCTTTGTATCATCTAGTAACTGTGAATTCATTTTTCATGTACTCTTGTTGTTTTTAAGGTGTCTCTCATTAACTGACCAGCCACCACAGTCCTGTCTTCTAAATCTGGCACTCTGCCTTCACATTGGTCACTACTGCTGCTCATACTTTCAGTAGAATTGTTAATCTCCTGGATTTCTGTTTGGAACACTTTTATGGATACTAGTTCTTTTCTCTGCAGGGCATTCATGATTTGCATCTTTTTCTTTAACTGCCCTAGTTTTTCTATTAATGCCTTCTCTAGACTCACCAATCATTTCTTTCATTAGGCTCATTATCCATAGAATTATATCTTTTTTGAGTTCACCAGCACCCTATAGATCTGTTTGCTACCTCTACTGTTATCCTTTCAGATATTTTATGTTGATTTCCTCCCCCTCAGTTTTCTCTAGATTGGCTTTGGGGAAGGGTTGGAAATTTTTGCAAGCATTTTGCTGCCTTATTTTCTCATGTTTCTATTTTTTTCTTTATTTTCAGTGCTGAGACTTGCACAATTATTATAGTGGTTAGCTTTGTTGCTAGTATGGAAAACTCTTTAATGTCTGCTTTTCAGAGATATCTTTCTGGGTGTAGCTGACCATTGCTGTTTGCCTCTGTTCCAGGATCCAACCACCTTGTTTATGTGGGAAAAGAGGTTGCAACTTATTTTCTCTGTCATTCAGTTCTTGGGGAATGGGCAGCAGTATTGTTCATGACCCACAAGCAACCCAGATATTGGCATATGGAGAAAACCAATTGATAGAAAACCAATTGATAGTAAAAACTAACTCTGTCACTTTGGCTAAAGTAGTAAAATCAACAACAACAGTAGTGTCAAATACAAACTGGATATTGACAAACCCTAAGAACCAATAATGTACCACATATAACTATAGAAAAAAGATCTATAGTTATAGTATAAATACTAAGGCAAACCAAATGTTGATCTACAATACATGTCCACTCAGTAGAACAACTTTATCTCCATTAACATTATAAAAGTATTCAACCACAGTAAGATAGGCTTAACTATCTATAGATTCATAAAGCTTAATGGTTATACTTGCAGGCATTGAGGTAGTATGGAATGGAAGCTGACTAAAGGAGTAAAAAAGAGTAAATGAAGGGGATAAAAGTAATAGAAAAAAGCCAACAAGAAAAAGAATAAATAATGAAAATAGAGAGTAAACTAAAGGACAAAAAAAGATAATTAAAGGAAAAATTAAAAGAGAGCAAGAAAAGAAAAGAGAGTAAAAAAAAGAGGAGTAAACCAAACAATTAAACAAAGATAATATTATTTTTAAAAGGAAGAAAGAAAATGGGAGCAAACTCCACAAACCACCAAACATAATAAGAAAGGAAATAATAATAACAACCGCAACAAACGATCAATAGGAAAAAAAAAATTGGATCAAAAGAAGAAAAAAATTCCTGTGTATTTCCAGATGAGTGGTTACTTCCAGGAACCCTCAGTCTTTCAAATCTAGCAAGTCATGGTCCTCTCTGCAGCACTTAATAGCCTGTGGGTTTGTGAGATGAACTCTCTGCTCAAGAGGTCTCCCTATCTATAAACCCCAGGCTATGACAACTGTACGAGCTGAGACTCACATCGGTACTTGGAGGAGAGATCAGACCACAGGTCTTCTTTGGATATAGGCAGCAGGGAAGATTCTCAAGCAGACCACAGGATTCAATGCCATCATCTTCAGATCCAGCCACCTCTAAAAGCCAGACCCACTAAATCTCTAAAAGCCAGACCCGCTGAACCTGTTCTCCACCGCAGAGTGCAGGCTCTGTGTCTTTCCTAGCCTGAGCTTGAACTTCTCAGGGACTGTAAGGGTAAAGATGCCCAGCCCTCATCCTCTCCCAGTCTGTCTCCTGTGGTTCTCTCTCATCCAGTCCGTGTGGTAGGGTAAAACTTCAGTCCTAGAGTTAAGCTGTAGAATGGGTGTTTTACAACTCCGTCCCACATGGTCAGCCCCTTTGCAGAATGACACCTGATTAAGCTCTCTCTTGCAACATGGTCAGTGCTGCACTAGATTTCTTCTCCAGTCCTATCCTGCTGTGAAGAAGTCATTCTCAGTGTAAAGCCTCACACTGCTGATTTATTTATTTATTTATTTATTTATTTATTTATTTATTTATTAGTTTGTATCAGCTATGGGATTTTCTTGGGGCTAGTGCTGTTGGCCCAGCCATTATTTCTCCCTCAAACAGCTAATTCCCCTGGGCAAGCTTACCTCTTCTCCAGAGTTTTGGCCTCTTCCTCTATCAGGTCAGTGTGAGAGTCCCCTGTGTGGCCTTGTGCTGAGGGCAACCAAGGTGTATAGAGCTTGCTAAGAATTGGAAGTTTGGAGTTTGAAGCCCATGGTGCAGGCAGGGTCCTCAAGGTGAAATTTTAAAACGATAACTTGCAAATTAGTATATTATGTGTTTCATTATGGTTTCTTCATAAGCTAAAATTTCCTCTACATTTAGACTTCATAAGGTTTTATGATCTGTACAGTAACCTTGATTTCTACATTTCCAACCAGAAAAACACTTGATTCCTGGGAATGTGGATATGGTGCTCAAGAGACAGCCAGACAACCAACCTGGGTAAGCATGCGAGGCCGGTGTTAGTTTGCAAAGATAAACTCAGAGCTCTGGCACTGGGGAAAGAGCTGCAAACGTCCTATTAATTAAGAATAAATGTGCTCTTGTACCAGTAGCTGTGCAGCAGGCTTTATCTTCTGACTGGTCGCTGTTATGTACACACATATTGGTCATTGCAGGGAGCAAATATTCCAGGAAGCTCAAGTAAATATTTTGAAATGCAAGTAAAAGATTTCGTCAGGTGCATGGCATTGCAGGCAGAGGACTCCAAGGACAGAAACTGCCCACTCGGATCCCTCCCCCTCTGAGACTCAGGAAGACAAGGATGTCTTAGCTTATATACAACTCAGTTCTTTAACATAAGCAAATTAGTAAATTTAATGCCAATAGTCCATTAACCAGCAGATGGACCACCACCAGCATTCAGCACAATGTGGACAAGCAACAAGGGATTGTTCATATGGTGAATTAGTGAACTACATGTGCACTATTTCACAGCACTGGATTCAGTTCTTATCCTAAGCAGGGAGGCGTGGCTGCCTGACACAGGAAGTTTTGCAGCCAATGTGCATTTGAGATATTTGGTTTAATTAAAAAACATATGAAGCCAAGCTTGTAGTATCTTTGAACCACACCATAATACAGTGCTAGGGCTAATACACAGGGGCATAGTTGATGTTTACAGTGATATGCTGTTTATGCTTTCTCTCCATCCTTATACACCTGGAGGCAACACAAGATCATGGTGGTGTGGACTGTAGCATCTGTACAGTTTAGAGCTCCTCACAGTGCCCACCTTCTTACCACCTTCATATCTCTTCATCCCTTCTTCTCTATGAGCTGATTTACATCTGCTCATGAACTGATAACGGGGCCCAAATTTGCTAAACTAAAGGATTTCTGTGATTGTGTATTTGATTTTTTAACCTTTTCCATTGAGGAATTGCGTGCATTTGTGTGTGTGTGTGTGTGTGTGTGTGTGTGTGTGTGTATGTAAAGAGAGAGAGAGATTTATTAAAAACTATGTGCATACATGGACATGGACAGTCATACACTGTCAGCACTCAATACTTGGGATTCCACATTTGTGACTCAACCCAGCGTAGTTCAGATTCTCTATTCCGGCTCGTGACGGCTGCACTTGTACAAACATGTCCCGACTTTCTTTTCCTTGTCATCATTCCCCAGGCAATACAGAAGAATAACCATTTACCTGACATTTTCATTGTTTTAGGTATTATAGTTATCTAGAGATGATTGGTGTGGGAGAATGTGCATGGGTTATATGCAAAAATAGGCCATTTTAGGTAGGGAATCGAGGCATGCTCATATTTTGGTATCTCCCATGCATCGTAGAACTCAGTATCTGTGGATACTAAGGCACAACCGGGTTTTGGTGAGGAGACCTGATTCTGAGCAGGAAACATACTCTGCCTCTCAGCAGGCAGAGGAGAGGAGCAGTGGACAGCACTGGGCTTCACAGGGCTCTGTTCCTTCATCAGAGATCCATTGTGAACTCACGTGTCCCTTTGAATGGGTCACCTTTATTTTTAGGATCCTTTCACTGAAAGTAGAAAGAGACTTTGATCCTCTCTCAGCTCCTTGCAGTAGTGGTCTCATCCTTTGGGCCAGGACACATCGGTGTCACCAGCACCCTCTTTCCCAGAAGGAAATAAATGCACCGGTAGCACCGGGCAGGAGAAAAACCCTGGGAAACACGGCTCTTCTCCCTGACACTGCTTTGGACAGTTCGGAACTCAACTGAGCTGACCGAGACCCCTTCATACTCTGTCCTGAGAAATGCTAGGGAAAGCAGGGCTGGACCCTCTGTCCCAAATTTCTTTCACAAAGGACCAATCCCACTTGCTTCGGTGCCGCAGGGAGTTGGACAAGTGCCCAAGAGGATGTCCACAACATCGGTCAGAGTTTGCCTGCAGGTCCCCAGAGACAGGAAGGCACAGCCATAGGAGTCAAAGCCAAGGTTGTCAGAGCGGAGAATGTCTGTATAATCTGACCCTGTCCTCCCTCTGACTCACCTCTCCAAGCAGAATTCCCACCCTCTGCCCAACACTTGGCCTCTACTTCCTCTTGTGTTTCGCAGGCGTCTCCCTCGGTTGGTCCCATGTTTCCTCTCAGTATTCCTTGCTGCTGTCTTTCTCATGTGCCACCCTGGACATGTCCCTCAGGATGAATCTGCTTACCTTCTGTCTTTGCCCGGGGCTGAGGCTGTTTCCATAGCTCTCTCTGCACACATGTCCTTATTACCTTCCTCTATTCATGGAACCAGTAGCTTCCTCCAAAGATTGACCCTATGGGACTTTTCCAGGGACATCTTAAGGAGATGCTGACGGGTTTCATGTTGGGACTGACAGAACATCAGGAGCCACACAGGCTGGTTGAAGAGTTGGCCTTTTCCAGCAGGAGGCTGAAGCCAAGTCTTTCCTTCACTCATTCCCACAGGGAGAAGGATGACACAATTCCTGAGACCGACATGGGGTTATATGATGGAAATCTGACCCCTGAAGAAATAAAATTTTTGGAAGAGTTCCCCCAGTGGAAAAAGGAGCAAGAACACTATATCACAACGCTTCGTGCTTTTGCAGAGGATGCTGACAAAATGCACAAAAAATTCACCAAGTCCAAGGTGGTGTCCAATTCCGTCACTGTTGCCTCTGAAGTTGCGAGCATTGTGGGCTTAGCCCTAGTTCCCGTAACAGCAGGAGCGAGCTTGCTTCTCTCAACCGCAAGCAAAGGTGTGTCAGCAGCAGCTGCAGTTACCACTATGGTGACAGAGTTCAGAGAAAAATCTCACAATAAAAAACTCCGTGCTCAGGCCAGTAGCCAAGTGCCCATGGGTGACCAAGAGCCCACAGACACAGGAGAAAAGCAGTCTCCCAATCTCACAGCTGCCGGTCAGGCTCTGTATAGGTGTGGGAGAGCCCTGCAAGTTATCAAGAAAGGCATCCGGGCCCTTTGGCCTGTCAAAGCCCAGCCACGCTCGGGCACTTCTGCTAAGCATCTTCGGACTGCTGATAAAGTCTCAGCGTCCGCAAGAATGCAGGTACAGAAGGCCAGGCCAGGTAAAGTGCTGACTGTGGCAAAAATAGCTCGCATGAGTGTTAGGGCCTTCGCGTCCATGTCTCTGAATGAGGGCGTGTCTGCTCTCTGGAAGAACTGGAAGCAACTGAAAGATGAATCGAAGGCTGAGCTCGCGGAGGAACTCAGAGCCCAGGCTCGGGAGCTGGAAGAGGTGCTGGAGCAATACAGCGAATGCTACGATGCACTGCTAAAAAAGGTGAGGATAGGATTTTGGAAGTGGGGTGGGACTTTAACTGGGACCTGAGGGGGCCAGTATTGTCCAGGAGGGGTGAGGAGAGCTCGTGTGCACTTGGTGTAAAGTTAAATGGATGCAGGGGCTGGGGATTTAGCTCAGCGGCAAAAGCACCTCCTTGGCAAGCACAAGGTCGTGAGTTCGGTTCCTGGTACCGGAAAAAAACCAAAAAAAAAAAAAAAAAAAAAGTTAAATGGATGCACTTCAGGACATTTTGGTGGCCCTTGAGGTCCAAATAGTTTGAAAGACCCCTTGGGATGTGGGTGCCTGTCCTGGCCAGGCCTGCTCACACCTTTTGTTTCTCCCTTGAGTCTCCTGCAGACTGTGCCGGGAAGAGATTGTTGCTTAGCTTAGAGAAGATGTCATCAAGCCCCTTTGCCAGTATTCTGAACAGAAATGTGTCCTCCTTGCAATTCGTGGGTCAAAGCCCTAAGCCCCAGTGTGACTGTTGGAAGGTGAGGCCTTGGGAGGTGATTAGGGTGTAGAGTCATAGAGTGGAGTCCTTGTCAGACAGGATTAAGGTCCATAACAAAGTGCAAAGACATTTGAGGGGCCTCCCCACATCCCAGGGACCAGCAGAGGAGAAGCTATACAGGATGCAGGGAGAGGCAGGGAGCTTTAAGCCTAGAAGAAAGCCACTGGCTGGAAACAAACATGCCTACACACTGGTCTGGCTCACATCCTCTAGCAGTATGAGAAGATGCATTTCTCTTGTGTCAGCTGCTCTATCGGAGGCATTTTGTTATGGCAGCCCGAGATGACCAGGACAAGAGGCCGTGTGGCTGGCCAAGTATCAGAGTGTTCAGGCTCCTCTCAAAAGTTGCCTTAGATTGGATCATTTGGGGCTAATAGACAGTTTGGGAAGCTGGTGCGTCCTCAGTCTGATCACCAGCAGCAGTAAGTTCAGTGTATGGCGAGGGCTCCCTCTATTCTTCACAGAAGGCACCTTCGTATGGCTCCCTCACCTAAAGGCAGGGAAGTTAAGTTCTCTGGTGCCTCTTTCATAAGGGCACTAATCTCAGTCATGAGGGACCCAGCCTTATGCCTTGTGTTGGTTGCTTTTCTCTTATTGCTGAGACAAAATACCTGATGCTCAAAATTAAGGAAGAAAGGTTTATTTAGCTCACTGTTTGTGGAGGTTTCAGTCCTTAATCAGCTAGCTCCAAGACAGAGTGGGATGGTGAGGGGCAATTGTTCAAGGTGCCAGAAGACAGCAAAAGCAGCAAAAGCAAAAGGGAGATGGGGAGCAAGCCTCTTTCTCTCCCTTATATTGTATGCAGGCTACC